CGGGGCACAGCCTTTCGGCTCGTGAAGGGTCGGTGCGTGTAGTGATCCCCTGGAACACCCGTAATCTCCCGCGCCATCTCCGTCGGCCTGTTCGTTCGGCTGCGGCCTTACCCCCAAGATCGGGAGGGAGGCGGCCAGGGCTCATAGACTCGGTCGAGAGACCCCAGATTGGCATCCATGCCTCTCTGGACAGGGTGGCCCGCCACAACGACCCCTGGAATTGCGACTCGCCGCATTCCTCCCGCCCGCTGTGATCACGCCTCGGTAATTTTTTGTTGTCCTGCTGCGACTCTGATCGCTTTCTCCTGTCTGCTATAGCCGCAGCCACTCCCAGCTGCTCGGTGTGAACAGAGTTGTTGGCTGCCCAATGGGGGAGGCAGGGTTTGTGGATGCGTGGTTACGCGCCCAGGTGAGCAGTATCGTGAGCTACATCGACAAGACAGTTCTTTCGCTACGTGCTGCGAGCCCCCACGCGCTGTGGGCCGCCATCTACTACTCCTGCTCCGCCAAGTTCGACTTCATCCTTCGGCACCTCCCTCCCGACAAGACGGTGTCCCACGCTCGCGTCGTCGACGCTGCGCTCACCCGTGCCGCTGAGGCGTGCGGCTACGAGGGCGTGCTCGGCGACGCCATCACCGCGCGGCGGGCTCGCCTGCCTGCGCGGATGCGCGGCCTCGGCCTGCGCTCGCTCGAGGAGGTGGCGCCGGCTGCGTTCTGCGCCTGCTTTGTCGAGGCGGCCGAGAGGTTCCTCGACAGGTCGACGCCCGGCGGCGGCAGAGAGCGCGGCTTCTTCCAGATGCTCGCTCCGCTCTTCGGCCACGGCGCCTTCGAGTTGCCGTACCCGAACAGCCCTCGCCTCTCGCGCTTCCTCTCGGGCTGCACCACCAACGTCAACCCGCTCGGCGCGCAGCTGGGGCAGCTGACGCCGACGGGCGAGTCCTTCAAGAAGGCGTGGGAGGGCATGCAGCGAGAGGTCCGCGGCGAGGGCGTGGCGGGACCTCTCGATGTCCGGGCTCCCGAGGCTGGCAACGGGCGGGCCGGCAGCGCTGGGCTACAGCGGCAGCTGACGCAGCAGCGGGAGCAGGTCAAGCGCAACCAGCTCAGCCGCAGCATCCTCGGGCTGCCGCACGGCGACACGCGGCGGGAGGCGTGGCTGGCCGTCGACTCGTTCTCGTCCGCGTGG